ACAGCCCATCCCGTCTTTTTTTGGGGCAGTTTTGGACAAGTGGAGGCTGTCCAAAACTGTTGTCTTTTTTTAGTCACAACCACATCACTCGTACCTAGAAACTTGAATCTCTCGACGGCCCACCGCAAACTCTAACGGTGGTCACACGAGTTGTGTCATGTTGCTGGCTGGTACAGAGTCGGTGGCACCGGCGGTAGCCGATGTTTTTTCAGTGGGCTGGACCAGGTGGACAACCCGATGTGTGCGGCAAACAAGAGGCAAACAAACCGAGAGAGCCTGGACGCAGCAGCGGTGGGTCATTTTTCGTGTACTGTCAACCTTGCGAACCCAACTTTTGGGCGTCCTATAGCCTCCTGGTCTGTATCAATCATCACACAAGACGAACCATACGCACAGCTCGTGGCGCATGCCTTTATCATCGCTGTTGCTTGAGTGGGTGGCGAGGGAGTACTGGCAAACCAAAGTTGCGACACGGGCAAAAGAGCGAAAAAAGTTGCTCGAAGATGCGGCGGATCATTTTTCCCGCTTGTCCACCACTCTCGCGCTCACAATTTCTGAACGTCCTATAGCCTCCTGGTCTGTGTCAGCCACCACACAAGACGGACCATACACACAGCTCGTGGCGCATACCTTTGTCATCGCTGTTGCTAGAGTGGGTGGCGAGGGAGTACCGGTAAACCAAAGTTTTGACAGGGGCACAAGAGCAAAAAAAATGGTTGCTGGCGCGGTGGGCGTTTTTTCAGCGTGCTGTCGACTCTCGGCACCTCCATTCCCGTGCCTCCTATCGCCCTGTGGTCTCTGTCAGCCGCCACCCAAGACGGACCATACACACAGCTCGCGAGGGATAGCTTTACAGTAGGCGCTGCTTCACTCTGTGAGGAGATATCACCGAAAAACCATTTCGGTGGGAAGGTGCATGTATGTGTGACAGCAGCCGTTGCAGAGTCTGTTTTATTTTTGGTCGGTGAAAAAGGATCGACCAACACCGTAAGAAGGGGGTCATCTTTTTTGTAGATCCCTTTCTGGGTTGTCCGAAAGGGGGGAAAAAAGATCTGCGAAAAAAGAACCGCAAGAAATGGCCTTAAGGGCGCGGGGGGGATCGCAGTACTTCCTCTTCAAAAAAACAGGAAACGCCTGGAAACGCCTGCATATCTCGGTTTTCCAAAGTCTAACTCCAGTACGAAACTACCATCGTAAATTAACCGTCCGCAGCGGTCGCTTGTGTACAGTGTTAGTAGCTGAGGTTGTACCCCTTGCGATACACTACAGACTAGCGGTCCGCGATTTTCCAAACGATCCTTCTATCATCGAGTTGTGAGCTACAAGCTAGATTTTTGAAGCTGCTGTGCGGTCCAATTTTGAAACGCTTCAAGCACACGGTGAACACGAATCACCGCCTATGTGAGTGTATGGGGCCGCGAACTTCAGCGCAGCTCTTCCCTCACATATCCAGCTGGTCGCCATTGTCGATTTGAATACCTAGGGTCATGTATATGCATGTCCAGCCTTTAGGCAAAGGTGCTTGAAGCGTTTCAAAATTGGACCGCACAGCAGCTTCAAAAATCTAGCTTGTAGCTCACCGAACTCGATGATAGAAGGATCGTTTGGAAAATCGCGGGCCGCTAGTCTGTAGTGTATCGCAAGGGGTACAACCTCAGCTACTAACATTGTATACAAGCGACCGCTGCGGACGGTTAATTTACGATGGTAGTTTCGTACTGGAGTTAGACTTTGGAAGACCGAGATATGCAGGCGTTTCCTGGATTTTTCAGAGGAGGTACTGCGATCCCCCCCGCGCCCTTAACTTGTGAGGAAAAATAAGAAAAAGTGACTAAGAAACACACCTCAAAACGGACGCGAAGATAAGAAGCATCCGAATAAGAAAACACGCACCCGCAGAGGCATGAGATACATATACTTCGTAAAAAACTACAATAGGGGACCGGAGCTCATGGCAAATAACTTGAGATTCTTTGTGCGCTTCTTCCGAACAATGCGTTGTTTCGATTGTTGCACAGGGGGGGCGGCACACCTCGGCACCTTGGCAGCACCAGTTAGACGAGACCCCCGGAAGTGGTTTGTCCATTTAGTTTCTGTGTTTCGCACTCATCGGTTGGGAGACAGACGTTCGTGGACGGAGGATATGGTTGTCGACAGAATGGGTAATATAAGAAACGGCAACTAACTGAGTGACGTTACGGAGTACAAGCCAGGCGACAGAGCGAAACAACAAAAATTGTCATTTGAAGAAAAATCGTGAGTATTGGACCAACAGCCAGAAAAATAAGACTGTGAGCCTCGATCCGAAATTGACGTTTCTTATTCGCGGGCCCCACGTGTCTTATTCGCGGGCCCCCAACTGTACCCGATTTGAACTGATGTTGGCTTCCAAAGCCGCAGAACCCAACCTGACTTTAACCTCGATTCCCCGATTTGCACCGCAGGTTATACTGCTATTGGCTTCCAAAGCAGCAGCGTGAAACACGTTTTCTGGACCACTACAACTGTGTACTTGCATCCCATCCCTTGCGCCAAACGGAACTGGGCGACTTCCTTGAGATTCCCTCTCCTACGGTCGCCCCGGTGGTCTAGTGGTATCCTCGTAAACCGCTAGTCGCAGAGGTCGTGAGTCCGAATCCCCGTGGGGTGATAAATTTACAAAATATGCGGGTGAAAGCGAAATATAGCTGAGAAGCTCTCGTGAGTACCAAACTTCGACGTTAGCACCGTTGACGAGGGAAAGGGACGGCGGGACCCTTCTCGCGATAAAAATAACAATTCAGCACGCACCGCAGGAGGAAGGTGGGGCATGAAAACAAATAAAAAGAAGAAAAAAGCCCTGGTGTTTACCCCCTCCTGTGTGACCCTGGATGGTTGTAGATGTACGAAAAATTACACTGAAGGTAGTACTACTCTACATACGCTGAAAAGTGTAGTACACGTCTCACCACGAAAAATGGGGGGACTGTCGCCATAATAAAAAATACCAAAACACACACACACATACTCCGTTGTTGCTCCACGCCGCAGGCCCCATCTTCGTCAAATTCCGGTTCCAGACACCCGAACAGCAGCTCAAAGAACAAGCGAGGGACGGCGGAGGAGCCACCCGCGTCGGATGCTGCGAGGGACGTAGGCAAGAGGCTAGGGATCGGCGGCGCCGTTGGGGCGGGGGGGTCTAGGCGACGGGTGCCGGTGACGGTGTGCGTGAACGACGTGAGTAGGTTTAGAGATTGTGATGGTGTTGCTGCTGTATAATACAGATAAAACTCGACAGACCGCCGTGCCGTAGGTCACATGACGTAAGATACCACACCCGACACCCCCCCCCTGGTGACCGATTTTCAAAGCTCGAGTTCTCCACGACGAAGAGGATGCACAAATCGCGCGTTTTTGGAAGGACTGCCTTGGCGAGAAATTAAGTCTGTGAGGGAATAGAACAGGGAGGGTGGTACGCAGACCCTATCCCTAACCCACCTTCCCCGAATTGCATACTTTATCCGACATGCTTTCTTAATAGAAAAACCCTGCGAAGGATTCTGTCTGTTTTGGAAAGCTCTCGACGAGACGGTTCTCACGCCACAATTTTCGGTACCGCCACTCTGTGTCCTGTGGAGCATTCGAGCTTTGCAAATCGGTCACTGGGGTGTGGTATTTCTGTCGCCTATGGCACTCCGCTACGGTGCACGGAAGGGGACACACTCCTGCGCTCGTGCGAAGCGTACTGCTAAATCGAGCCTGAGAGACTTTTATTTCTCCATCGAAAACATACATACAAACAGAGAGACTACTCGTTCAAGATATAAGCACAAACAGGATGCGTTGAAGTCTTTATTTACTCTGAGAGAAAGAAAAATCGGCTGGATACGTGGCTCATTTTGAGCCTGTTTTTGTAAACATCGGCAGAAAACGGAAGAGGTCGAGCTTCGAATCTGGAGAACGGCAAGAAATACGAAGTAGACTTTGGGGAAAACCGCACAATCTCGGTCTCCCGAGGAGACAGGAAACAGGAGGGGCCTGGGGTTGGACAAGGGGATGTAACGGCCTCTGCGCGCCAACACAAGTGAGGGAGGGTATGTGCGCGATTTCGTCAACGGACCCCCTCCTTTCCCTCAAGCGCTACATGCTCCAGGCAATAAATACTTCTGCAGGGAGTAAGGCACGTGCATCGATCGGCAACTTGTAGAGTTTGCCGGAGACTCGTGATGCCGGCTACATTACAAAGAAAAACCTCAACCACGAGCACGTGATGTCTAAGGCGACCAAGTCGTGGGGTTCGGGTTACATTCGCAAGAAGACGTGAGGGGTCCGGCGATGGCGATGATGGTTCGTGCAATGGTAGGGGAGTCAACGCTAAGAAACAAGAGAGAAATCGGTGGCTGGAACTATACAACGAAGACGCTAAGAAATGGGTGCAATATTGCCGGACAGAGAACAAGAAATGGCTAAATAAGAGATGGTCTGTAGCTCGCATCGGCTATGGAAGTAAGGTTTGATCGTTGCTCAAAGCAAATACTTTGTTACAACCGGTCAGCCTCGGTCGACTGCTTCTGTTAGACGGACGAAGTGCTGGCACCGAATTCCGTTGTCGGGAAGTCTTGCCATGGGCAGCCCCCCTCCTATATCAATCGAATAGCATCGATCTGTTTATTCGTCGATTCCTCATACTGTATGTTTGGAGAAGTCGGTGGTGCAATTCAGGGCTCTCGCAAGTACAAGCATTGCGGCCAATCCCAGCGCCTGTTGATGTTCGATTGTACCGGGCGGTCGTTCAATGGGTTTGTACTGGTGACGTGCGAAGTCAAATGATCATTATACCTTTGCTTCCTTGGGTATGCTTGGCTGTCTGTCCCATACCGAACCGCACGAGATCACAAAACACTTTTTTTTGTTTCCCCAAGGTATTCCCTCACGCGAGCAAAAGGGTTGGCTCTTGTTGTTCTCGTCGCTTTTTCCCTGACACGTTGTCCAGCTAAACGCTGCGCTGACGGCTTGTGTTCATGCAGGTGGTTTTGAGAAAGGGGCGAGACGGCGATTGGGTGGCCATAGAGTCTGCCGTGCGAGTGCTGGTCTTGCTAAATGAGGTGAGAGGACCTGCGCAACACCCTCTCGAACGACTCACTTGTGCGTTTCAGCCACCCCGGGCTCTCCAGTCGTCGAACATATCCCCAGACACTAACTTAAAGGATCTGGCGGTGAGACTAGGTCGTTGATAAAGATCGACATTGTGGTGTCGGCCGTGGTCACTTTTCTTCCTTCGGTGTGGTGTTTCCATGCTTCTAGGTCGCCATGCATTGACCGACGTCATCAGCACGCTACCATCAACGCGCCGCCGCGCCTTATGTATGATACTTGTCACAGCTTGGTTTTGATGTGTTTTTTTCATAGTTGTGGGTCACCATGCGTTGACTGACGTCACCAGCACGCCACCATCAATGTGCCGCCGCGCCTATATATCACACAAGTCGCGTTTTTTTTTTGCCTGAAACATCGACGGACAATCACGTTTTGCTGGCAGGTGGCGTCGGTGTTTCTGGTCGCGTGGGTGCAGAGCGATCTGGATGAGAGCCTCGTTAAGGATATCGCCCTTTCTTCGGGACTTACCGGCCCATCGGGCCGCGACACGTCCGGTCCATCAGCAACGGTAGCAGCGAATGCTACTGGCATCCCCGAGCACGTGAGTGTCGGTACTCGAAGGGCAACAACCCGTGATTTTGACACAATACTACGTTTCACGAGGCACAACGTGTCGATGGCTTATGCAGAGGTATGTTTGCAGCAGCCTTGCGGGCTGGGGGTCCTCTGTTCTAATTGCCAAGTGAACCAAAGCATGCGATAATCTCGATGTGACTCTGCAGCTTTTGAGTGCTACGGCAATGCAGCAACACTAGTGCTTCGAAGCCTGATCTCCACGCTGTATATGTCGCAACCTGCTTGATGTCTTGTAGCCAATCGCAAGTCGCTTTGTTTGGCACGGCACAAGCCATGATGCATTTGATGATGCGACCCCTTGTCTGTACGTCCTTGTTTCGTTTCTTGTCTGCCCGCGCTTGGTCTTACCGCAATTGCAGCGGCTGCTGTTTTGTTCCTCCCACATCGGCCAGGTGGCCGTGGTGCGGCAGCTAACTCCTAGCCTGCACATTGGAGGTGAACTTTTTTTCTTGTGTGTGTTTTGTGCGGTCGCGTTAGCCTGCACATTGTAGGTGAACGGACATTTTTTTCTATTGTGTGCGGCGCGTTTCTCCCGTACGGTGGTGCAATGCGAATTGATGGATTAAAGGCGCGAGACTCCTGCACAATTTTGCCATGGCACGATGCTCGACGTGTTGTGTAGCAGCCTAGAAGCTCAACTGTACCGTTGCGCTTGAGGTGGAGGCACGACCACTGTTTGCATTTTTCGACCACATCGAACTTGACGCGATTACACCACTGGGAGGAGTACTCCCCTCGTGAGTTGACCCTTGTGTTCCAAGCACTAGACACGCGTTCGTGACTACCTGCCATTTGCCGTGTGCAGCTTGAACCTTCCTTGTGTTCCAAGCACTAGACACGGGTACGTGACTACCCGCCATTTGCCGTGTGCTGCTTGACCCTTGTGTTCCAAGCACTAGACACCGATTCATGACCGCCTGCCATTGCCGTGTACTGCTTGACCCTTGCTTGTGTTCCAAGCACTAGACACGGGTACGTCACTACCTGCCATTTGCCGTGTGCTGCTTGACCCTTGTGTTCCAAGCACTAGACACGGGGCTTGACTGCCTCCCATTGCCTCATACTTGGCAGGTCCAATCGCGCTACTGGAGGGCATCTGCCGCTTCGTGCCTTCCCTCTTGCGCATCGACCCTAGCGCGGTCGAACCCCCTCCCGAAGCGACCGCGTCGCCAGCCGCCCCGCCCGAGAAGGAAACCGGTAGAAGGGACGGGGGCTACGCCTTGGAATGGAGAGAGTTCAGGTCGTTGGCAGCGGCGGCCGGGTTGGAATCAGCGACGGGCGGAGAAGCGCAGGGCGCCGGCTCCAGCGCGAGTTGTAGCTCGGGCGCCAAACAACCGGACATCGCTGCGATGGCGGGAGGCCCTTGTGAGCAAGGGGCGGCCGATGACACGGAGAAGAAGCCGGGGGTTGTACCGGAGCCCTCCTCGGCACGTGGGTCGAAACCATCAGACGTTGAGGGTGTTGGCGAGACATTTCCCCCCTTGCCAACGAGCCCTCCGGCGGTCTCATAGCTACTATTTCGGGCCAGTTTTTACCGGGGGCGAGTCCCGTGCCGAAAGGCAATGGGGGTGTGCTGAGCGATGTCGTGTTGCCAGTTGCGCCTGAGATAGGAAGGCCTTGGACCGGTGGGGTATGGCTGAGCAAGTGCTGTGGGCACTCGGCTACCTGTAATTTGTAATTTGTACAGTGACTTGTGAATGCATGGCCTCGTTGGCGCGTGCACTCACACTCCGTGTTTGTTCTCTGTTTTACAGTAAATCAGTCGCCCGACGTTGGGGGGCGGAGGAGGTTGCTTTTTTTGGCGTATCAGTACATCGTTATGCACTGGGTTGGACACTGAAAGCATCGGGGGTTGAGGTAACGTATTGCCTCAACAGGTGGTTGATGGCTGCACGCCTCTTGTGGTGTAGATATTTTCTTGTTCCGAAGACTGTAGCGATTGTTTCCTTACAGCTTCGAGACGTTGTGTGGTGGCAGGCATGCCTGATTGCGTGGCGTCGATTGTGAAACGGTGCTTAACACGTCATGCGTTTTGTGACAAGCCGGAATCAGTTGGTTGTTCGGTCCGAACATTTGTCGACGTTATTGGCTCCGTTGGATATTGTAGCACGGGTGTACATACGTGGTACGAAAGCATGTCTTGCCTGCAACTAATGGTTTGGCCACTGTGTTCCAAGTGACGCCGCTTTTTTCCCTGCGGTTATTTAGTCAGGCCGACGTCTTTGGCACGATCTTTTGTCATGGGCCACACCCTGGCAGACCTATTGCGTATGATCTCTCTTCAAGTGTTACCCTTCACCTTGACAGTGCAACGGCCGAGTCATTTGCTTAGCGCTTGCTCGAGATTGCACTCCCTCACGACAGGAAGGGTTGAGAAAAGACGCCCTGGGTGGTAGTTCTGCGCATATGGAGTCAACGAGTAGTCTAGTCCGCACGCCTAAACAGCCCGAAGGAAAATCGTCCGGACCCACCGGTCCAGTCCCAACGAAAAACGACTTGTGCCACGCGAAAACTCGCACAGCAAGCCCCAAGAGAAAAAAAGTAACCAGAAAAAAATAATATCGCCGCGACACAATACGTGGCACTGCTTCAATTACGAAGATGAACGTTGCTTCCAACGCGCCACAGGGCACCAGTGCGCACGAAAATAACATCCAAGTCGGTGCATAAAAATGAAACTTGACCAAGAAAAGCCGAAGAAAAACAACTGCTGTCGCATGGTGTGTTGTCGGCGGAACGTGGTGTCAAGGGCTAAATTTACGACCTGACAGGACTGACTATAGAAAACACTTTGAACAACCCACGGTTATATGTGTGTACGTACATCGTGTGAAGGAGGTCGAGGCCGGGGAGGCCACCGCAGGCAATCTCGGAAGGAGTTCAAGAGCAACATGGCGTTTCTGGCTGCGGTTACAAGCAGCAATTCCGACACAGAACAAACGTTCCGTCCCAACACACATCATACCGCCACAGCCAATATATGGAACACAGAAGGGACCTGTAGTACTGTTCCTTTCTTTGTTTCCATCCGCCGTCGGGTCATGATCTGTCAACAACGCAGTAAACTCAGCCAGCAGCCAAATAAACCCAAAAAAACAAATCAGCCTCAGGCAGGCAACGCCGACGATACTCGTCGAGTTGATACATCACAATATATGGAACACGGAAGAAACCTGTAGTGCTTGGCATAATCTACAACCTTCGTCCCAGAGACCACACTCGATCGGACGCCGTGGAAGAGCGGTCCAGCTCGGCGAACATTTTTCGGCCTCCGTACCACTCCAACTCCTCGTGTGGCCACTGCGCGCAACGGGTGATGCGGGACCAACGAAATTTACCGGGCAGAGGACGAAAGCCGGATGCGACGAAAACATGATCTAATAGCAGAGCGTCTCATGGGTGCATTGATTCTGCCTTTTCCGCCAGGCAGGTGTAGGGTAATCGCCGGCTTGATCAACCATCGCCGGGAGGGCGGCCGACCCCGGCAAGACTCGTCATACGCCACCACAAACCTGCACGCATCACCAAGCCACGCAGCATGGATTGACATCCTCCTGCAAGAAAACAAGGCACAATGGTGTGTTCCTATATAAACGCCGATGCATCGCAACCCCAGCTAGCGACCGACGCTGAAGGCTTACCATGCGACCGGCGGTACTGCTGCCAAAGCCGATGATGGCACTGCAGTCTGGCTCCATGCCGTCGAACGCGAGGTCTTCCTCCGTGATGCGCTGTTCCTGCACTTTGGACAGGTGGCTCTTGCTCACCTGCCAGCCATATGGGGAAACCATCGAGGAGGGGGGAGAAGAACGCGGGGCATCTATGTGTCTGCGCGAGATGGTCTAGCAAAAAGGGAAATTTCATTCAGTTTGCCCGTGCTGCCTACCTCTTCGCGCTTACAAGTCTTCATCGTGAATCAACCAAACCGTGGGGCCACCATTACTTGTCTAGGGGCAGCATGCCGTCAGTCCCGCGAAATTCACACCGCACGCACGCGAGACAAGGGGAAGGGGGGGGGGGGGGGGGGTGTACCCATACCCACCGGAGGGGAGGACAAACCAACCCAACCTTCGTCCGCTGCCACATCTTTTCACCCGCTGGCCCTTGAGCGTGGGTCATGATGCCGCGAAATATTCAAACCGCTCGCACGCAGAGGAGGCAAGGGGGAGAGCGCGGGGGAGGGGATAAAAGACAACCCTCGCCCCGCCCCCGTGTTGATTCTCACTTCTTAACCTCACCTGCTTGCCCTTCCGCTTCGGTCTCGGTGGAGGTGCGTCCAGCGACACAGGCACCAGTCCCTCGAAGGTCTTGGCCAGGGGGTGGATGTTGACTGCCGCCGCCGCCGCCGCCCTGTACACCGGGGCGACCGGCTCCGGCACCCCGCTGCCGTCAAACTCCTGCTTACAACAGAAGAAATACGACATGGTTGTGAAGGTCGTCGACAAATAGGAAGGGGGAATGAACAACCGCACGAGTACGATGCCAAAATTACACCGCAGACTCTGATTCAAACAACGTGCCGCAAATCGCAGTGCGACACAGCACCGGATGCGACATCAACAACGTGCAACATATGCAGAACGTGCTGAGCCTTCCGTACGTTACGTAAGATACTACACCCCCCTGTACCGGTTTTCGAAGATCAGCTACTCCACGACGGCACTTCAAACGAAGGGGCTCCCGATGAGAGGGCTCCAATGCCGCCATTTACGGCACCGCTACGCTCTTCTGCTGTGGAGTAATCGAGCCTTGAAAATCGGTCCAGGGGGGTGTGATATTGTCCAGGGGTGGTTGCGCTGTACACCGAAAGCCGTGGATGTACAGCGGCGTACAGCATCCCACAATGATACGAACGTGTGGTTCTCAACCCGCGCCCGCACCGACTTCTGTGTGCAGCGTGAACCGTAGGTTCCACAAGATATCAACCCCCCAGGAAATATTATCAAAGCTCGACTACTCGGCAGGAAAAGCGGCGTCGGTGCCGAAAATGGCGGCGTTGGAATCGTCTCGCCCGAGAGCTTTCCGAAAACGGATCAATTGATTTCGGCATCCTCTTCGTCGTGGAGCAATCGAGCTTTGAAAAATCGTTCCAGGGGGTGTGGTATCTCATGCAACGTAAGGTATACACACGGCGCTTAACTGTGGTTAGCCCAAGGCGGTGGTATTATGCGGCGGGACAAAAATTCGCTGGGAGGTGGCGGCAGCGGTGCGTGAGACTAACATCTGAAATAGACGCGCGACCGCGCGCACTCAAACAAAAAAAAGGCGCCAAGAACAACGGCGGGCACAGAAACCCAAAAAACGTCGACATACTTGCCTCCGTCATCCGCCGCTCAAGCTCAGCCTGCTCCGCCGCAGTCGACCACAAAGACGGCTCCTGCATCCTCGACGGCGCAACGAACGACGCGTCATCCGAAGCGTCCGTCGAACTGCCTCGTCTGGCTCTACTGCCCCGCGGAGACGACGCGGAGGTGCCCCACGTCTGCCTCAGTCGCCGTGGCGGCCCGGTGGCGCCGGAAGCTCGCATCGGCGTCGGGGCAGGGGGCGGCGGGCGGGGAGCTCCGAGCTCGTCATGTTCCTCTTCCTTCCCGTCGTCGTCGTCGTCGTCATCCTCCTCCCAGTCGCCCTGCTGCTGGTGGTTGTTGTTGCTGCTGCTGCTGCTGCCGTAGTATGGGTCCTCGAGCTTGTAGACCTGCGGCGGCGGAGAATACGGAGGATGTTGGTCGCTTTGGAGGAGGCGTAACAATTGGCCTACGTGTGTACGAGGCCATGAAGCCGGGGCATTACGGTTTCGGCAATGTTGCAGTCGAGGAAGGGAGCATGGCCAAACGCAATTGTTTAGTTTTCCGCCAGACAAGGCGGACTTCGATGGCGTCTGGTGGACAAGACTGGGAAAACGTAATTATGTGAGACAACGTTCTCGCTCAACCGGCACAACCAGACACCCCGCCGCACACGGCATTCGAAAAACAGCCACAGGGCACGGTGCGACAGGCATTCGATTTGAAGCGAGGAGCCGCAACACGATCTCGACATATATGATACACCCAACAGTACCACGGGTGGGAACCCAATCGGGCATCAAGCCAAAAAAACAGCAGAGGCCCAACCGTCGCCTTCAAGAGGCCCGTCTACCATCCCGCACCCACCCCTACCAAAGAACGGTCCGGAACAATCGTGCTCACAAACCTGATCCGCCGGCGCGAAGCTGACGCGGCGCGGCGCGGCCGGGCGCGCCTTGGGAAGGGGCGGCTCTCCTCTCGCACTCGGCTCTTCTTCCTCGCCCCCCTCCCCCCCACCAACCCCTACTAAGCCGGGGCCCCTACCCTTGGCATCGATCGCCGTCCATCGCGAGAAAGGGTCTGACGGGTCTCGGTTTTCCTGCTCGGTCCCGGCCGCCATCGCCGCCGCTGCTTGCCGCATCTCGGGATTCTTGTTGCCGCTGCCCCCACCGCCACCGCCACCGCCGCCGCTGCTGCTGTCCGTGCCAGCGTTCGAGGGATGCGGAAGCGGCGCTAGAGCTTCGTGGTAATCCGGGAGGCGGGTTGGTGCCGAGGAGGGGGGTGGTCTCATCGGGCGCGTGGGCAGCGAGGCCGTCGGCCAGAGACGAAGGACCCCCCTCGCCGTGCACGTCCGAAGAACCTCACCCTCCCCCCCCACCCCCCGCCGCCGATCACCACCGCTCTCCACTCCCCGGGGCCCCGACCCAAACTCGCACGACACCGGGCGAGCCCCCAGGCGGCACTCCACGACCAGCTCGAACCGCCGGGCTTCGGCCGCTGCTGCCGCCGTCGGCGGCGCACCATCGCTAGGGTTGTTATCTGTGGATCCCCCTCGGGGGAGGAGCGGTCGGTATGTCCTTACGATGCCCGCCGCGTCTGTAGCGGCGATCAGCTCCTGGCGACAAGGGGCGGGATACGGCACGAGATGAAGAACAAGACCAAAGGGGATAGGAAAACCGCGGTATGCTCTACGTTGAGAGGCATCTGTGCACCAGGATTGGGACCACGGACTGCATACATATATGGGGGGGGGGGGGGGGGGGACCCTTCCGGAGGGCGGTGAAAGCATGCGAGCGTTGGCAGCAAGCAGAACTGGCGAGGAAAAAAATGTCAACAGGCGGAAGGTCCGGTGCCGGTTGACAATCTTGGGGGTGGAACCCCAGGCGTAGCTGACGCCGCCCTTCCAGACCAACCTGAGCCGACCCTTCCGGAAAAGAGAGAAAGAGGGCCTGGCGGCAGCTGGCTGGCTCGGGTTCAACAACTGCGCGAAGAGAAGGTAGTGTGGCAAGCGCCTTGCACCAACGAACTCACGCTCAAGGGTCCCTTCCCCCGGGGCCCGCGATATGAACCATACTTGCACCGATAGGTACAACAACAATTACACTGCTGTCAAGAAACTTTCTTACACCGAGCCCAACATGGTGTCCTACCGGGTACACCGGCAGCTACACTGTCAAGAATCCGCGTCCGATGGACAAGACAACAGGGGCCCCGCCTTAAGAAAAAACCGCACCCACCTGTTCCTGGCTGCAGCAGACCCTCTCGACGGGCTCCGAGGTGTGCTCGAACTTCATCAGCACGGCACCCAGCTCTGTCCTGCCGACCGCGTTATCCGGCCGCTCGCGGCCGGATGCGACACTACCGCCGCGGCTGCCTCTATCGCCGTAGCCGACGGTCGGCCGGCCGACGGTCGGCCGGTCGTCTTCTGCCTCGCGATCTCTTCGGTCGGAAGGCTCTTGGGCTTGCAACAGATGGAACGCAAACACCGTGCCCTCGGCGGTTCCGGCGAGCACGATTGGCACCGTTGGCGACAGGGAAGCCGCAAGGCATGACACCTTCGCGCCGGGAGGGGGGGGGGGGGGGGGGGCCAAGGGGGGGGGGGGGCTTTTTCCAAAAAACGGGGGGGGAAAACCCGGGGGGGGGGCAAGGGAAGATTTTTGGCCCCTTTTTACCTACCCCCCCCCAGGGGGGGGGGCCCGGGACCACCCTTTCCGCGGGGAGAAAA